GCAACATAGACACCGTCTCTACAAAAATTTTTTTAAAAACTAGCTCAGGCACGGTGGTTCACGCCGGTAATCCTAGCACTTTGGGAGGCCAAGGCAGGTGGATCACCTGAGGTTGGGAGTTCGAGACCAGCCTGACCAACATGGAGAAACCCCGTCTCTACTAAAAATACAAAATTAGCCAGGCGAGGTGGTGCATGCCTGTAATCTCAGCTACTCAGGAGGCTGAGGCAGGAGAATTGCTTGAACCCAGGAGGTGGAGGTTGTGGTGAGTCGAGGTCCCGCCATGGCACTCCAGCCTGGGCAACAAGAGCAAAACTCCTTCACTCACACACACACACACAAAAACAACTAGCTAGTACACGGCCGGGCAGAGTGGCTCACCCCTGTAATCCCAGCACTTTGAGAGCCCGAAGCAGGCACATCACTTGAGGTCAGGAGTTCAAGACCAGCCTGGCCAATACGGCAAAACCCTATCTCTACTAAAAATACAAAAATTAGCTGGGTGTGGTGATGCGCACCTGTAGTCCCAGCTACTCAGGAGGCTAAGGCAGAAGAATCGTTTGAACCCAGGAGGCAGAGGTTGAAGTAAGCCAAGGTCACGCCACTGCACTCCAGCCTGGGCAACAAGAGTGAGGCTCCGTCTCAAAAAAAATTAAAAAACACTAGTTACACATAGTGGCACGCACCTGTAGTCCCAGCTACTGGGGAGGCAGAGGTGGATCACCTGAGACCAGGAATTCAAGGCTGTAGTGAGCTATTACTGTGAAACTGCACTCCAGTCTGATAGAACGACACCCTGTCTCTAAAAGTTAAATAAATAAATAAGAATACATTAAAATCCAGATTTCCAGCATCTTTTCCAAAAAAAATCAAAATATCCAAGGATACTGGGCCCACTTCCTCACATGGCAAAAGCAAGTGGAGCTGAGCAGCAACTGCCCCCTTTAGTTTGGGCCTGCGCTCTCCAGTTCATCAAGGCCCAGCCTACTCATCCTCGTACATAACAGGCACGGACCTGGAGACCACTGAGGAAGATGCTCAAACAGAACAATAATAATAATTCAATGAAGATTTGTTTACTCTTTTTTGGCCAGATTTCTGTGGCTCTATCATACATTAGCTGTGTGACTCTTAAGTAACACATGTAACCACTAAGCCTCTTAAATTTAACACAAGCTGAAATATGCTGACTTCTGAGTAAAAAAACTTCACAAAAACTTCAAACTCACAGAAGCAAGTCAGGGCACCTCCTATGGGGAAAAAATGTATGCGGCCGGGCATGGTGGCTCACGCCTGTAATCTCAGCACTTCAAGAGCCCAAGGCAGGCGAATCACTTGAGGTCAGGAGTTCGACACCAGCCTGGACAACACGGCAAAACCCCGTCTCTACTAAAAACACAAAAATTGGCCAGGCATGGTGGCACCTGCCTATAGTCCTAGTTTTGAACCCAGGAAGCAGAGGTTGCAGTCAGTCAAGATCATGTCACTGCACTCCACCCTGGGTGATACAGCAAGACTCTGTCTCAAAAAAAAAAAAAAAAAAAAAAGGTAATGTGACAGAAGTTCTTGTCATATAATTTGACATCTACGACTGTGTCCTTAACAGTAAGGCCTATACATTAGAATAACAGATTGCTAGCAAATTATCTTAGCCTGAATCATATAAATCTACTCAATGCAAAAGTTTCTGAAGTCTTCAGGTTTGAGTCAATAAGCAAAACAAGCTCCCCCGCCAAAAAAGAAAAACATTTAAAGTAACAGATGAGGCTATGAGCTCCTTTAGTGCAAAGGCCACTTCCATTCCTCGTGATCCCTCCTGTCTCACAGTGACTGGCACACCGAAGCTGCAGCTCAAGAGCGAGTTTCTCTCTGAAGCCTTTCCAGAGGGACCCCATCCACATCACAAAGAACAAGCAACACGGTGCAGTAACGAAGAGTGCAGATCCCAGTGTTCAGCACATAATCCCCTCTATCTTACAGATCTACCAGCAGCATAAACTCAAGGAAGTTATTCAAGGTCTCTGTGCCCCAGTTTCCTCATCTGTAAAATCAGGATGCTAATAACACCTTCTCACACAAGAAAAAAAAATGAGATAAAGCATTTAACATCATGCTAGCAGAGTAAGTACTCATTACCTATTACCTACCATCATCGGTGTTCCCTTCTCAGGGCTCTAGGGTACTCCTGGGGACTTCTACCTTAGAACCCACAGTACTTTATTATAGTTCACCCACGCACACACATCTGCTCCACTAGAATGTCAACAACCTCAGGATAGGGACCCAATTTTACTTCTTTTTGTATCCCCAAGGTCTAACATTTTGCCTGGCGCTGCTGAAATGAATCACAGATCCTCGAAGTATTTACTAACTGGAAAAGTTATTAGCAGAAACTGGAATTTACCTCCTTTGCCTGGTAGTCAAACCCTCACTGACTCTGACCACTACTGCCCCTCCAACTTTATGTCCTTGTACCCTGCTAAAAGAAGCAATGACTTGCTTGACTCAGGCTGTAAACTCATTCACCACTCTAAAACCATGCCTCAAGCATTATACCTTTGTATCTTATAGCTATTTATTTTGGGGGACTTTACCACAAACCAGGCCCTTTATCCCCATTAGTTCAATAAATACTCACAACACTATATGTGGTCAATATTATTCCCTAACCTAACCCCTAGTTGAAGAAAATGATGCCTTGGGTTACGTGCCAAAGGTCACATACCCTGTAAAAACAGGGACCAGGAATTAAATCCAGAGTCCATGCTTATTTTCTATAGACTGTTTTCTCTGCTCATATTCAAAGCTGAGCTAACCTACCTGCCATCTCCTTGTCTTGGAAGAGCACAGTCTTTGCATTTAAAAGATCTCTTTTAAATTCATTTTAACATACAAATGTTTTGTCCTACATACCTTTTTGTTTCAATATGTACTTGCATAAAGAGAGAGATGGTGTGAGAAAAAGGCAAGATATGTAATGGAAAAAGAACAGATTTAGGCATCAGAGAGACCTGGGTTTGAATCCCGGCTCTGTCTCCTACCAGCTGTTTAATTTATTCTGGGTCTTCCTAATCTGTAAATTGCGGTTCAAGTGATTAAACAATAGAAACCCCTATATAATACCCAAATACTAAGCCGGGCGCGGTGGCTCACGCCTGTAATCCCAGCACTTTGGGAGGCTGAGGCGGGCGGATCACGAGGTCAGGAGATCGAGGCCATCCTGGCTAACACGGTGAAACCCCGTCTCTACTAAAAATACCAAAAATTCGCCGGGCGTGGTGGCGGGCGCCTGTAGTCCCAGCTACTGGGAGGCTGAGGCAGGAGAATGGCGTGAACCCGGGAGGCGGAGCTTGCAGTGAGCCCAGATCGCGCCACTGCACTCCAGCCTGGGCGACAAAGTGAGACTCCTTCTCAAAAAAAAAAAAAAAAAAAAAAAAAAATACCCAAATACTCAAAGTTTAGTTTACCTCAAATCATGAAGCCTTACCTGGCCACATCCCATCCCTCAAAGGAGAATAACCCATTCCTCTCCCGCACTACCACCATCACAAGAACCCTCACACAATGTACTTATCACTGTGTTAGAATTATTCATTTCCCTTATCTCTCTTTCACTAAATTGATCTCCCTGGCAGCAAAGACTGAATCTTACTTATCTCTACACTGCCTAGCATGGTACCTGGCATATATATATATATATATATATATACACACACACACACACACATCCATATTCAGTAAACATTTGCTAAGTTAAATAATTGTAGATAAAAATGAGTGCTTATAGAATTCTAGAGGAAAAATCATTTCCAGCTGGGGTTGTTCCGAATTGGTTCGGCGAGGCCAACTCAGCTGAGCCGTGGGAAGCGTCTCAATAGATTGAAAGAGAAAAGGGGAAACCTAGGCAGGGTAGGGAGAATGTTCTACAAAAATCAATGGAATAGGAAAGAACTGGAAAGGTAACCAGGAGCCAGATTCACAGATGTAAGGGGGTGTAAGTGCAGTCTGGGACACATAGTTGAAGGTAGGCATGAGCACACAGATGAATGGGAAAGGGCTACCAGCATGCCCCAAATTCCGGAGGTGTGTCAACTGAAAAACATGAAAACAATTATTGCTTCATCAAGAACTCTTTCCGTGTTTACTAGGCACCTTGTGTGGGCTCATAAAATATACGGAATAAAACCCACATCTAGGCTTCTGCTCAGGTGGGTTTTAACATTACGGGTCCGCCCCTTCTGCCTGTCAGAGAATGAGGACGCTGCTTTTTTTTTTAAACCAATGTGTCTCCATTTGACTGTTCACACCTGGGAAAGTTTTGAACTTCGCCGATTTAGATTTAGAACAACATGGTGCTTTGCACAGTGCCAGGTACTGTGGTGGGCTTCCAAAGTTACTTTCATTCATTCAAAAGGAAGTTTTAACCAATTTCTGAGTCAATTTGGGAGTCTCTGGTTAAAGTCATACTCTTGTTTACACTACAATCTCTTTTTCCCAGCCTTCAACAAATCTAAAGGACTCCTTGCCACTCCCATAAACGAAGAATGAATCAAAGTTCCAGAAGCACTGTAGCTAGAAAAGTCTGTAAGGCTGTTAACCCCTTTAAGGGGGATGGGAGGAAGGGACTCAAGGAAACAGGGACCACACAGTCAATGCTTGAAAACCTTGATTTTCACATTATGAAGACCAGGGCACCTAGATATTGCCAAGTGCAGGACCAGAAACTGCCGGAGTCAACTGCACCTCCCACACCCACACTACCAGGTCCGCTGGCTTCTTTTCCCCTAAACCACACACCCGCCTCAGACTCCTGACAGCCTCCAGTTCTGGAAACCGCCACGAAACGAATGCTCCCGGGCCACCTGAACAAGGGCCCGGCAGGCGGCCCGCTGGGCAGCGCCGAAACCGCAGGGGTGAGAGAGCCGCCAGGTGGGCAAGCTGGTGGGCTGGCAGGGAGCAGGCGGCTGGGGCAGGGAGCTGGCGGCTGGGGCAACCTTTACCTGAAGCTGCTTCCACACTACGGGCCGGGTCGGCCCCGGGACACGTTCCTGAGGGGAGGGCCCGGCTCCCCCACGCCTCCCGGCCCCTGCCCCGAGCTCTGTACTCTCGGGATCCACAGGGACCGGCGCTCCTCCCGGCCCGCTCAGCTGCCGCTTCCCGGGTTCGCCCTCATGCCCCTGCTGCTAGCCGCCGCCGGCCGGCCGAGCAGCAGCCCTATTACCCTGAGCTGCACACGACCCGGAACCACACTCCGGCGTTCCGGAAGTCCCCGACCGGGAAGGAGCCTCTGGCTGGGGACGTAGTGCGCAAGCCCCAGAGCTGAAAGCAAGGAGCGGTTGCTTCCCGCGGGGCGGGGCCGGGAGGGAGGCCGAGCGCATGCGCGTCGCTTCTCCAGTGCAGGGAAAGGCCTGGGTCGGAGACTGAGTTGTGGCGCAAGGCGCCAGTGCCTGGACTTGTCTTGAGCGGGAATCAGTGTTAGGCTTCTCCATTGAATCTTCTTTCTCCCCATTTCCACGGAGAAAAGCCCTTAGTTCGTCCAGAAATGAATGATGAGGCAGCTTAGCCTCTGTATGAGAAAGACCGGGGTTCAAATGCCAGCTCTTATAACTTGCTGTGTGTCCTAGGACGTGACACCTGTCCTCTCTGAGCCTCGGGTTTTCCCATCCAGAGCAATAGTTTCAACTTGAGAGTATATTGCTGTGGGAATCGAATGGGATGATGCTTGAAAAGCACCCAGCATAGTGCCTGACACATAATAAACATGCAGTCAATGTTAGTTATTTCTCTTATTATAATATCTGTAATATGGAGGTGATAATAATCTTCCTCAAGCCCTGCTGGGAGGTTTCCAGGAGATGTGGGAGGACTAACACGGGGCAGAAGTTCAGCGTTGTCTCACGCTGCTCCCTTTCTCACGGAGAAAATCAGTAGAGAAAATCACGGTGAAGGGGAAAAAGGATTCAGGCAGTGCAGTGAGCGTGTTCTCTCACCTGAAAGATGCTCGGGGAAGTCTCTCAAAAAAGCACCTTAGCAAAAGAAAAAAGTCAAGGTTGAATTTCAGCCCTGGGGGACCCCTACCAAATTTTAAACTCATTAGTAAATATGCCACGGGGCCAGGCGCGGTGGTTCACACCTGTAATCCCAGCACTTTGGGAGGCCGAGGAGGGCAGATCCCTTGAGGTCAGGAGTTTGAGACCAGCCTGGCCAACATGGTGAAACCCTGTCTCTACTAAAAATACAAAAATTAGTCTGGCGTGGTGGTGTGCACCTGGAGTCCCAGCTACTCGGGAGGCTGAGGCAGGAGAATGGCTTGAACCCGGGAGGCGGAGGTTGCAGTGAGCGAAGATCAGGCCACTGCACTCCAGCCTGGGTGACAGAGACTCTGTCTCAAAACAAAAAAACAAAACACATCATGGGTCCACCCATGTATTTCAAATATGGCCATCCGTCGCTTAATGATGAGGACACGAGAAATGCATGGTTAGCTGATTTTGTGGTTGTGTAAACGTCATAGAGTGTACTTACACAGTGTCAGAGCCTACTACACACCTAGGCTGTTTGGTATTAGCCTATTGCTCCTAGGCTACACACCTATACAGCATGTTACTGTACCGAATACTGTAGGCAATTCTAACACGATGGTATTTGTGTATCTAAACATCTCTAAATGCAGAAAAGGTACAATTAAAAGACCGTGTTATAATCTTAGGGGACCACCATCTCATATGCACTCTGTCATTGACCAAAACATCCTCATTCCACGCATGACTGTATATGATTGATCTCTTACCATATGCCATTACTGTATATAATTGGTATCTTACCACATACCTATACTGGGGGGAATAGTGGACCTCAGCACCCAGACACGCTCTTGCACACACACCACCACAGTTCCATCAGGGACCTGTTAGAGGCACTCTAACAAAGTAGCAGGTGTGAACAAGTTTAGATATTTGATTTTCTGAGGTCACCAGGTTATCTGTTCCTTCCTAAATCTTACTCTCCATTTTCCTCTCTCTCTCTCTCTCTTTCTCTCTCTCTCAAGTTCCAATCTGAAGCACAGTTGGCTGTCTCTCAGACACATAAAACTCGACCTATCTAAAACTGCTAAACAGTTACAGATTCTAAAGAGTAAAGATTTCCTGGCACTTTAAGAGGCCGAGGCAGGAAGATCGTCTGAGCCCAGGAGTTCGAGACCAGCCTAGGCAACATGGTGAGATACCATCACTACCTTAAAAAATGTATCTCTATGTAGGCCAGGCACGGTGGGTTATGCCTGTAATCCCAGCACTTTGGGAGGCCAAGAGGGGCGGATCACAAGGTCAGGATATCAAGAACATCCTGTCTAACATGGTGAAACCTCGTCTCTACTAAAAAAAAAAAAAAAATACGAAAAATTAGCCAGGCGTGTGGCACACACCTGTAGTCCCAGCTACTTGGGAGGCTGAGGCAGGAGAATCGCTTGAACCCGGGAGGCGAAGGATGCAGTGAGTCAAGATTGCGCCACTGCACCCAAGCCTGGACAACAGAGTGAGAGTCTGTCTCAAAAAAATAAAATAAAATAAAATAAATAAATAAATAAATAAAATATATATATATGCAGACACACGTATATACACATATATATTATATATTTTAGCCAGGTGTGGTGGTGAATGCCTATAGTCCTAGCTGCTTGGGAGGCTGAGATAGGACGATTGCTTGAGCCTGAAAGGTCAAGACTGCAGTGAGATGTGATCATGCCACTGTGCTCCAGCCTGGATGAAAGAGCAATGCCCTGTCACAAAAAAAAAAAAAAAAAAAAAAAAAAAATTAGAAAAATAAAAAGTGAATACTCACTCTGCCACTTACAAGTTTTGTGACTTCATCTCTCCAAGTTGCTTCTCTAAATATTCTTATCTTTACCTGGAAAATGAGAATGACAAAAGTCCTACATAACCTCATTTGTTTGTTGTGAGGATAGAATGAGCTAATACATGTAACTTACATAGAACAGAACCTGGCATGTGACTATTATTTACTAATGCTTACGAGTATTAGTATACCTCAGTCCATAAGCAATACTTATTGAGTGCCTATTGAGATTCAGTGGTGAAAAAGCCAGGCAGGAACCCTCCCCTTAAGAAGCCTTGTAGTCAACTTTGTTGGTTTGAAATACTATACTATAGTTACTGTGGTAAGTTGGCACGTAGTGATATATGGTAGGATTTCAAGGACAGTATTGAGGGCCCAGTTGAGAATGGAAACGAAACATATGGTGATACTAATATGATAGTTTGTGTGATTATTCTATAGCTAGTTGAAACAGTCACGATACACACACCCAAAGCATGAGAAGTTGGATTGATCTAAGGAAGGATTTTGCCAGACAGGTGTGCTGGGGTCATATCAGCTTTTAAAAGTGCTTAAAACAATGAGCCATAGAAAGTGTGCTGGATAGGGAAGCAAGAGAATTCCAGAAAAACAGATATCACTGGCCTAAAGGTCTCAAAAAGATGTAATGGAAGTCACTGATGAAGGAAAGCAGAAGGTTGGAGGTTATTGTCACAGAAGGATGTTTCAACAAGTAACCTCAGAGGAGGAGCCATGTGAGAGGGGGTCCCAGCTAAAGTGGAGTGGGGGAAAAATCACTGAAGGTGAGATAGTCAAGGAACTGAGATCCTTGTGACTCTCCAAAGCTCCCAAGATGGTGGACAGACATGGGGTGAAAAGGAAACCAGACGTGCTCCCCATGGCATCTGCAACTGAGGAACAGCACTGGGGAGGTAGATGAGGAAAGAGGAGAAACTTATCGGATGGCGTGAGCCTCCAAGAAGCAGGAGTTGTGTTGGTGGAAGTGTCATTAAAGCATACATTGACCTATCGCCTGATCTGGGGTGCACAGTGGTAGGACCTTGAGAGATAACACACAGGCGCCTGAAGTCTTGCTCTGTCGCCAGGTTAGAGGGCAGTGGCACGATCTTGGCTCACTGCAACCTCCGCCTCCCAGGTTCAAGCCATTCACCTGCCCCAGCCTCCCGAATAGCTGGGACTATAGGTTCCTGCCACCATACCCAGCAATTTTTTCTATTTTTAGTAGAGACACGGTTTCACCATGTTGGCCAGGCTGGTCTCGATCTCTTGACCTTGTGACCCACCCACCTCGGCCTCCCAAAGTGCTGGGATTACAGGTGTGAGCCATCGCACCCGGCCACAAAAATAATATTTTTACAGCACACTGATGGTGCTGGGCCAGGGGCTGGCTAGGGGACTCCCATAGACATCAGGGCAGCAGGAGAGGTACCTGGGCATACCTGTGGCAATCAGGCTTCACAGCCTTCATCTCCAGCTTGGAAAGGAAGCCATGTTAGGGGGTGGAGGTTCTTTTTCTTCCGGTTCCCAGGACTAGAGAGGGTCAGTGGGCAGAAGTTCAAAAACACCTACAACTGGGCTAGGCCTGGTGGCTCACGCCTATAATCCCAACACTTTGGGAAGCCAAGGCAGGCGGATCACAAGTTAAGGAGATTGAGACCATCCTGGCTAACACAGTGAAACTCCATCTCTACTAAAAATACAAAAAATTAGCCAGGCGAGGTGGCAGGCGCCTGTAGTCCCAGCTACTCGGGAAGTTGAGGCAGGCGAATGGTGTGAACCTGGGAGACGGAGCTTGCAGTGAGCTGAGATCCGGCCACTGCACTCCAGCCTGGGCAACAGAGCGAGACTCTGTCTCAAAAAAATCAAAACAAAACAAAAACAAAAACAAACACAACTACTACCTGTGTGGCTTTCAACAAGTTACTCACCTTTTCTGTGTCTGTTTTCTCATCTAAGTTGTTGTGAGAATTCAGTGAGGTGCTGCACAGAGAGTAACTAGAACAGTGCCTGGCATACAGGAGGTGTTGCATAAATGCCAGGTCTTCTGGCCTGGCACGCCAAGATGGGCAGTAAGGATCGGGTCCCTTCACACATTCTGTTTCCTCACAGCCCTTCAGCCTCAATTGCTGTTTGCCTCTCCACTCAGCAAACTCCTATTCATTTTGGGGAGCAGCCTAAAACAACAACCATGTATTATTTCTTAGGATTCTGTGGCTTCATAGGTGGTTCTGCTGCCAGTCTATCCTGGGCCTGCCCATGCAATTGCAGTCAGATGGAAGCTAGAATGTCTGGAAGTACTAAGATGGCCTCACTCATATGGCAGCAGATGTTGGTCAGGCTGTCTTGATTTTTCTCCTGGTGGCCTCTCTGGTTACTATCTTGGCTTTCTATATAACATAATGATAGAAT